TACATGTTCCTGAACCAAATGTGAAAAGTTTCAAAATGTTCACGCCGAAGTTGATGATCGTCGACACGAGGCATTTTGAGCTTAAGTACTTCAAGGTGTTTGCTGTGTAGATTGAAATTTTAGCAATACAAAAAATTTAGTTGAAAATTCAATAAAAAATAAAATATTGAGTGAGTGACTTAACCTACTTTATGAATGGTTGAACGCGCTGTGATTGAATAAGATGTACCGATGAGCTTGTACCCAAGAAGTATTATCAAGATAAAAGCTTGTGTTTTCACCAATAGCATGAACCAAATTATAGTCACCACTATAGTTCCTCACGGGTCGACTAGATTTGGTTTCCACATCATTGAGATATTGTGCACAAAAATTCATGCATTCTCCATAAGATATCCTTTAGCAATTGATCCTCAGGATGAGCTCTATTACGCACGTATTGCTTCAAAGTAAGAAGATACCTCTCAATTGGATACATCCATCGAAACTGAATCGATCACCCAATAAGGCTTCATCAGCTAGATGTATAGGCAAGTGCTCCATTATATCAAAAAAACTCGGAAATATTTTCTCTAGATGAGAAGTGTTATAGCGATCGATTCTGAATATATTGCAAATCCGTCGCACGATTCACTTTCGAACACAATTGTCTAAAGAAATTGCTCAATTCAATCAAGGGTTCAATTACATTCTTCGGTAACGATCTTCGAATAGCCAATGGAATAAGTTGTTGCATCAGAATATGACTATCGTGGCTCTTAAGACCCCCAATGCTTCTATCATGTAAGCGCACACGACGTGATATATTGGATGAATACCCGTCAGAACTCTTACTTCCTTCAACACTTTCAAGAACAAATCTTTCTCATCCTTGGTCATCGTGAATTGTGCTGTGGTAAAATAGGCTTTATTCGACCCTCTTAACTGTAAATGTAGGGGTTTTCTAATATTCATATCTTGTAAATCACGCCGAGCAAACACCATCCTTCGATTTTCCTGCAACCCCTAATATTGTCCGAACACATTGTCACAAACATTCTTCTCTATATGCATCACATCGAGAGTTGTTTGTCTTATTAGATTTGCTCCCAATATGGCAATTCATAAAAGATACTCTTTTTCTTTCCAAACTATGGTGTGCGATGTCCAGCTTTCTCCTTCTCTACCTGTCTCCTATGCCTCTCCTTAAGGTCATCCCTCTTGTATTTGGTTAAAATACCCTCAATTCTAATTGTAGCAACATCTCAGTTCCAGACAACAATTTTTGTTGAGTTCTAACTCGACTGCCATTCAAATGATACTTTATCCTTCCAAAATTTTATGGCCAGTAATGTAAAAATCGCGATGACCCAGGTATGATTGTTTCCTACTATGCTTCAACCAACACGATGTAGTTGCTTATTGCAATAAGGACATGCATATTCGCCTTTAGTGCTCCATCCTGACAATTTGCATATGCAGGAAAATCACTAATTGTCCACCCAGTAAAGCTGCATGCATTTGAAACATTTGATTTTGTTGATGCATCAAATGTTGACACACCCTTCATTCCATAGTTCTTTCAACTCCTCAATCAACGGTTGCATATAACATCAATCTTGTCACCAGGTCCTTTTGGGCCCGTCAATAAGCACGGATAAAATTAGAAATGGTTGCTTCATGCACATCCATGCGGCAATTATATGGAATGAGCACAACAGGCCAAGTGCTATGAACATGTTCATCGTCCTGAATGGGTTAAAACCATCAGATGCAAGCCAAGTCTTACACTTCGGCAATCATTACTAAATCAATATTCCGATGGTCAAAATCTTTCCACTGCAAGGAGGTACAGCAGGATCCTGAAGACACCATCATCAGTTCGTTCCTCTGCATGTGCCATCTCATGAACTTGGCCGTCTTGGATGACATAAACAACCTCTGCAACCTTGGCTTTTAAAGGAAAATACCTCATCTGTTTTGCAGCTATTTGTTTCCACCTTTGTTAGGACACATTTGAACCACCATCACCATTTGATTTCCATCTAAACTGTTGCATATGACACATTTATCAAGATTGGCGTCCTCGTTTTTGAAACAACATGCAACTGTTCGGACATGCATCCCTACGTCTCATACGTGAAGCCCAAATCTGTTGTGACCTTTTTGAGCTCCTATAATATAAGTCCGGGAGTTTCACAACCCAACGGGAACGCCTTCATTCAATAACTCAAGCCACATGTCAACAGACTTGTCTGTCACTAATTAAGCACCTTCAAATGTAGAAGTCGAACAATGAATGACAAAGATGTGAACTTCTGACAACCCCGATACAATTCACTTTGTGCATCTTGAAGAAGTTTGAAATACTTTGCAGTCTCTGCATTTGGACCGAGCTGGGGTTCAGAGCATGGGGATCAGGCCCTGTGGTCATCACCCTTAACACTTGTACCGGCATGTGGATTTCCCATAAGCCCCTTGTATCATTCCAATATATCATCCCCAATGTCTAAATTAGCTAATGTTTCATTCTCCGTTACCATGCAGAGAATTGTAAGATTCCCCATGATTAATCCAAATGTTTTTATTTTAAAAAAACCATTCAAAATCAAATGCTCCGTTACACCCCTCGTAAAAATAGTATCGATTCTCACACTTCCTACACGGGACAACTGAAATCATCGAACCTTCAACCCTATTGGTGTAGGCAAACACCAAGAATTCATCAATCCCATTAATGTATTCTTCGACATCTTATTTGGCAAATTCAATCAACTCTTATCCATCATCTGTACACATCCACAAAAATAAGAAAGGAAAGTAGAGAGAGAGAGAGAGAAGAACAGTATCAAAGGCAAGATCTCCAGAGATTAGGGATCAATACTCATATAAAATATATTAGCAACATATGGGCATGCGTGAGTGGACAATGAGTTGTTTCAGTGTACTGTATTGTAAGAAAATGATAGAGAAAAAAATAAATAAATAAATAAAAATAAAAAGGGGAAATAGTTAAATAGCTTCAATCTTTTGCCTGCCAAATCAAAATCCCATACACATTCTTTATATCACTGAGTTGAGTTTATGGTAGCATTAGG